TGAACGCAGTCTGAAATAGAGGCCAACAGAGCATTATTCTTACCTTACAACACATTCAAAGTGATTTCCCACATGAGTTGTACTTGCAGCTACATACTAGTTTTTCCTTTCCCTGAATCTCTCAGTAAAAGAAGTAACAACAATGATTACGGGAATGCATAGAGGCTCACCTAGATACTCTTCCCCACTCACATTTCCTAGTTGGGGAGGCAATGGTGCCCAAATTCAGCTTTCCTGTCTGTTCTGGGAGGGGGCAGGCTCACAGACAATAATGCAGAGCATGTACTTGAACCTAGGCCTTACAAGCCATGGATTGCAATGTTTTACCCCTGAGAAAGTCTTTCTTGTTCATGTCCAGTGGAGGGGGAGAGGAGCAAGGGCTTGGTGCATTCTGCTGAAGAGCCTACCTCTCATGCCCCTTCTGGGGGTACTGAGCTAGGAACCAAAATAAAACATTCCTCAATAATTCCCTGATTTCTGAGCATCTCCATAACATCTGCAGGGAGGGGATAAGAATCTGGCTTGAAGCCTGCTACAGAGCTGGGCAAGAGAGAGAAGGAACCACTGTAGAGCAAGCAAGACAGAGGAGGAACCACTGCAGAGCAGGCAAGAGAGAGGAGGAACCACTTCCCAGAAAGGCTCATTTCCGATTTTTCACTTGGAAACATTGGGAAATGCAACATGAGCCACATGAAAGAATTTCATATGAGCTGGAGAGAGGGAGCAGTTGGGAAAACCATTAAAGTGCCTGCTGTGGGAGCACAAGGACCCGAGTTTGGTCCCCAGAACTCATGTAGAAAAGCCAATCTGGGAGTGGTGATGTACACTGATAATCTTAGCACTGATGAGGCAGAGAGGTGGATCGGGCCAGCCATCCTCGCTTAATCAACAAACTCTAGACCGGTCGGAGACTTTGTCTTAAAATAAGGTGGACAGTCACCCTGAGGAACACGACACCCAAGGTTGTCCTTGGACCACCACATGCATACACACACATGCATACACTGAGTTGCACACATGTGTGTATCTACACATAAAGCACACATATATACCCAAACACAGTTGTGCAACTTCACACCTCCCTACATACATGCAGAGAATGCCAATGACTATGCATCCTACATTACACAACCCATTAAATGTCTACTTTTCTATATTCGATTTAATTTCTAATAAGCATTTCAGTCATGATTTATTTTTAGTATACCGACAGATCAAGTTGTTGGGAGGCTAGACTCTCCCAAGGCAGTAAATCTCCTCAGCTTCAAGCTAAGTTCTCTCTACTGCTCCTGAATATTTTGAAAGAGGATTCCAGAAATATCTCTACTGACTTCAGATATTTAAAGCATCTACTCAGGGATCCTTTGCCTAGTATATTCCTGGGATGAGCCTGAAATCCTGGTCTCTTGTGTTACAGAACACTTAATAGTTTCTCTTATATTGTATTTTTCGATTTGTCCCAAACACAGAACCTTATGCTATATGGCATTAGGTGAACTCTACAGAAGCCAAGTGGTGGGAAGGGTATCCTAGTGGCCATTTGGTCATGAGGGAACAAGGCAGTGACACAGGCTCTGAGTATCTAAAATGCTACAGTTCCTCCAAAGCTTGCCCAGGAGGTCTGTGAGAGACGATGGAACCAGTACAGCCATACTAAGCTTTCTGTTCCACGGTGTGGATTCAGTTATATTCTTCGGAAGGTTTCAAAGGCACATGCATTTCTCTAAAGTTTGTATTTCTACCCTAAAATCCCACCAATGGTACATTCTGGCTTGATTGCATATACTAGGCTAGTGGCTCCAATTTAATATTCCCAAAGCTGAACTCACCGTCTACCGCCTCCACCTAGACTACTTGGTCTCTATGGTTTGCTGCCCCTCCATTTCAAGGGGTGCAAAAGCAAACCTGCATGGACCTCTTTTTTCCTCTCACGATTGTAAACATCAGGCCCCAATAGCTACCAGCTCACAAGACTCTCACACATATCCTTTCATTCTCAATTGGTCCTTCCAATCTATGCCTCATGGTTTTCAAGGACTGTGGTGGTTTAAATGAGAATGTCTCCCATCATCTCTGACATTTGAATACTTGGTTCCCAGCTGCTGGAGATGTTTGAGGAGGCTTTGGAGGTGTGACCTTGTTGGAGGAAGTCCATTACTGTGGGCAGCCTTTGAGGTTTCACTCACTCTGCCTCGTGCTTGTGGCTTAAGATGTAAACTCTCAGCTTTCTATTTCAGCTGCTAGGCCTGCCTGTTGCTGTGATAGTGATGGACCCTTCTCCCTCGGAAACTTTCAGCCAAAATAAATCCTTCCTTCTTTAAGTTGCCTTGGTCATGGTGTTGTATTACACCAATAGAAAAGCAATTAACAAAAAGACTTTTGTGATGTCGTTTTTCTGATTCCTTCTTTCCTTCATACACTCCCGCATGGCAGTCTGCACAGGACTGCCTGGCTAACCTCTATCCACGTGACACCCCCACTGTTCTGACAGCTCCCACACATGCTGTGCTCATTTATGCTTCCCCTTCAAGAACATCAAACCAGAGAACCCCTATTTCTCATTTGAGCATGTCACTTTCTCTGAGGACATTCTTGACTCCTCCCTTCCTTCCCTCAGCTAGTGCTGAAATTTCTCACACTAGCAAGCTGTGTCCTACACATCTTCCAAGCACTGACTCTGTCTTGGTGACCACATGTCTATGTCGTTTCCTACAATTGGTTTGCACCTTGCCTGTGAGTGAAGAGCATCTTCTATTGTCAATAGTTCCTTTGCACCCAGCATGACGTCTAGAAACAAGGAGGTTTACTTGGAGGCATGTCCTAGATTTTCCCCTCCCTGCCTTTCTCAATGCTCCTACGAGGTAGGGCAAGAAGAATTGAACAGTGATGATGGTAATGGTATTCTGGCTGTGCCAAGTCAGCCTCCTGAAGGGCCAGGGAATCAGAGCAGAAGAGACAAGTGGATCAGAGAGTCTTCCAAGCCTGCTGACTGACACATCCCCAGTATAAAGGAAAAATGAGTCAGGGCAGAGCTTCCTGTTGGTGCCCACTTGCTGTTTCATCCCCAAGACCCAGCAGAATCTCTGTCATGTGGGTTTTCAACTGACATTGGCTAGATACACAACAGACGAGTGAACTGACAGAATGAAAAAGACCTGACTGCCTATGCCATTCTGTAGGGATTCTACCCAGCTTCATGACCCCACATGAGCAGTTCAGGAGCTAGACAAGTGGTATTGCGTCTTACGTTATCAGTGTGCACTGGTGATTATGTACACTAGGCGTGGTCACACAAACCTTCACATGTTTGGCTAAGCTCTATAAGCCCACCTGCACCTTAAAGAGCCTTGACTTGGACCCCACCTTCTCTCTCTGTTCTGTTCTCTCTTCCCCCCACTATCTTTCTCTCTCTCTGCATGTGCTCCTTCCCCAGGCCTGGTTCTCTTGTTCCCCCACCCCCACCCCTCTTCCTTTTAATAAAGCTCTGATACTGATACTGGGGTAGTGGTGGCCATGACCTTTCTGTGCAGCAACCAGTGCTGCTAACCAGCGCCACTTATCATTCTTACATTTCCCATTTTCAGCTTCCACTCTCTGTGCAGTATGTGTGAGTATAGATGTGTTCTTTAAACAAAATTGAAAATTAGCTTTTAGAATTTTTCTTTCACAACAAACCAGAGATGGAACATAATGAGGGGCTGGTGAGATTGCCCCATGGTTTAGAACACTTGCTGCTCTTGCAGAGGACCCAGGTTCAATTGCCAACACCCACACTAGATAGCCTATAACTCTGGCTCTAGAGGATCTCATCCCTTCTTCTGGCCTTTGAGGGTTCCACACACAAGTGGCAGACATTCACACCGACACATATATTTATGAAATTAATCTTAATAAATAGAACATAATGATAGCTACTTAAGTTTTAAATAAGTAACATCCATTGATTCTAAATTACTGATGTAAACAGTACACACACACACACACACACACACACACACACACACACGTGTATATATATATTTTTCATTTACTAAAAGAAATCAAACTTAAGTCTGTAGACCTCCTACCTGAAAATCCTATCATGTTGTAGTCTTAGAATTGGCTATTGAGTAAGAGGTAGAATGAATTTATCTTGTACATCATTCTTGCAGATGGTGACTCCAGGTGGACTTGGGGAACCTAGGTTTGGTTACCAGAGAGATCCAGGGCTCTGCTTCCCGCAGCCATGCTGAGCAGAAATGGACAGGAGGCTCTGCCACTGACTGACCTCTAGGAGGTTGGCTAGGCTTTTTCTTCTGGTTTATATTCTTCTAGCTAAACTTCTAGGCCCTCTCTTCTTTTTCCAGAGAAGGACAGCTGATATTTTCGTTATCTGTGACTGACACTGCCTTCCTTAGTCACTCACCGTGAAGCAGGACAAAAGCCAGCGGAGGGATGCAAACAACCCAAAATAGATCTTTCTTGAACTGATTTGTATCAGGGCTATAAACAATTCAGAGTATGATAGGAGACAGGCAAGCACTTGGAGGCAATGAGAACAAAGGGTCCTTTCCCTTTCTTTCTGCCCCCCCTCCCCCAGCCCCCCATATACTAGAGCAAACATCCTGGGAGCTGAAAGCCTTCACCAGATGTTTGCCTTCTCTCTTTTCCCCTCTAAGGTATCTGCATCTTGCATCCTGCCCTGGCTGTTCCCTCCATCCTTACAGGGCACCTGTTATAATACAAATCAACGCTGTCAACATGACTCATTATTTTTCTCTCAGAATGGAATATGAACGCATCAATTATGTGTCAGTCAAGTTCTAAATGCTCACCCTCGTCGCACTGACCTCGGTCTGCTTTTGTATTGTCAGGGTGCTGTACTCCTGACATTTACCCACTGAGTTAGTGCCCCACACCTCTCACCTATTATCTTCTGACTTTAGCACCTGCCCAGACTTCCCTCCTATTAATCCACTTGACATGCAGATTCGGGGAGGCTGCACTCCCTGGGCACTCACCACTGCTTGTAGTCTGCGTCACAGTTGCAGTAGTACTTGGGATCTGTGCAGTTGCGCTCGATGCCACAGGCACACTTCTGGATTCCAGGCTCTGAGCCCCCCCAGTAGTAGTGCTTCTCATTGGCTTTGCCAACCCACCACGTGTAAGGACTTCCATCTGCGAGAAAGGGGAAAGGCACAGTTAGAGAGGGGCCTAAATTGCATCATTATAATATCACCTTGTTCTCTCTTCCTAGGAGGTATAGCAGTCTCTGATAGATGGAATGGCATGTGTCCATCTTTATAGTAAAATTAGTTCAATAATAGGAATGCTTAATTAAAAAAAAAAATCAGACAGAATGTCAAAGTTCAAGTTTCTCCTTCGTTCTCCACGTATCTTCTTGGATGAAGTTTTGACATTCAAGCATCTATATTAGGTATTAATTCAGTAAGTTGGAATCCTAGATGGTGTCAGTCTGCGTTGAAGGCATATGGGCCATTCTGCAACATGCAACTAACTCCACAGCTGATTTTGCTTTTCTGTGAACTGATACAAGTATGGAGATAAAAGATGACCAGAGCTAAATTCGAGCTTTGCCATGTCTTAAGTTTGACCTCCTAATTTTATTCATGAAGAACTTTGGTTTAGAAAGGCTAACCTCTTCTTTTATTATTCAGAAGATTAACGCCCCACATCAAAAGTCTGACCTCATATTGTAGAACACTCCCTATCTGTTATGAAGTTAGCTACCCATGTCCATAGCTTCTATATCCATGCAATCAACAAGCTGTGAATCAAAGAGGTTTTGGAAAAAAAAAAAAAAACCTTGTGTCTGCGCCAAGCATACACACACTTCTCACAGTGATTCCTTCAGTCACTATTTACACAGCATTTACCTTACATTAGCTGTTAGAATTGATCTAGAGATGATGTAGCATACTGGAGAAGATGTGGGTACATAGGTTGTACAAAGTGTTACTCCATGTGCTATAAGGAACCTGAGTTTCTTGTCTGCAGATGTTGGGATCTGCGGGAGCCCCTGATTCCAAATCCCCTCTCCCTTCCATTCATTTATTCATCCCTTTGCCTGATCACCAAAACTCCATTGCATTTCCATTATGTGCCAAACAGTAGAACAACAGAGGGAAAATGCAGGTTGGGGAAACAGATGTACAGGTACTATGAACATGGGTGTGTGTGTGAGGTAAAGGAGGTCATGGCTAATGTTTTCTCTGAGCTGTGTCTTGTAGGTTGTTTGGGCAAGTGAACCAAAATGTGAGAGTAAAGGAGTCCTATAGACAAAGGGAACACTAAGTAACAATTCATACAGAGGAATTTTGTACACAAAGTGTATGCAGAAGCAAGCAAGTGGTGTGGAGTAGGGCTGGCGAGAAGAGTTTGGGAGTGCAGCAGCACCAGACAGTACTAGAGAGCAAACGAGGGCTCAGCTGTAAAGCCTTTGTCCAAATGAGAAATTGTTTCACATTGACTAGTTCTTGCTTTTCAAGGCTTCTTTCCTCCAGCTTTCTAAGCCTGAACTTTATCCTGAGATAATGGGAGGCCACTGAAGGATTTGGAACATGGAATCATTACTGTCCAAATCTGGGCTTTAAAAATCTAGAGCAAGATAAAAGATGGGTTTCTGTGTGATGAAATCTGGAGGGCAGATGTGAAGTTCTCTTAATAATGGAGAAGATAACTAATAACATGGAACTAGGAGAGGAGAAAGAGAAAACAGAGTCTAGGATTGCTGGGGTAGGTGCGATTTGGGAGAGGAGGGGAGTATAAGGCACTGTGAACTCTGTGCTTCTGGTCTAGATAATAAGAGAATACTGACATATGTCATCTGGGAGGATAAAGGGAAGATATTTTGAAGTTCAACAGAAGTTGAGAGGAGATGAAGAGTCTGATAATAAAACTCCAGGCAATTGGATGCTGATGTCTAGCCTCAGGAGCATTTCCTGAGCTGAAGGTCTTGTTTCAGGAACCGTCAGGCAAGCTGGAAAACACTGAGAGAGGCAGAGACAGCGGTGGGATCTTTCATACTATAAAAGCATTGCAAACTGTGCTGGAATTCCACAGAAAGCTGCCAGAAGTGGAAGAAAAATGAATCCACTTCAAGAGAATGGCAGGAAGAAAAGCCTGGAGGCACAAAGGATGAGAAGGGAGATTGAGAAGATGCTGGCCATGGGGCCTTTTTCTTCCATTTTACTGTGCTGAGAGCACTCAGTGTGAAACCTCCCTTCTTAACAAATTGTCTAAGTATTTTACACAGTATGCTAATCATAACTATGGTGTAGTCCAGAAATGCTCTAGAACCCATTAACCTTCTTTAACAGAAACTTTTATTTATTAGCAATGGCTTTGTTTCCTCTATTCCTAGCTCCACTGAATCCATTCTCTTTGATTCTGTGATTTTGCTGTTTTAGGATCCTGACACAATTGCAATGATGCATTCAGTGTGTGTGTCTATATACAATGCAATTTCCTTTCTGCTCTTTCTTTCTGTCAGTCTTTATTCCTTTTTTATTGTTTCTCTTCTGAAATAACACTATTCTTGAACAGGAAGAAAAAAATCTGCAAGAGGTAAGAATGTGGAAGAATCTTGGGGATATGCTAAGAGAACAGAGGAGCCTTAGGGGAATCTGGGAATGATGGGATTAATGGAGGTAGTGCCACCCAGTAAGCCAGAGGGAATCTATTAAAATCTCCAGGTCTGTGGGTGAAATGCCATCACAAGAATCTACCTCCACCTGTCCTTTCAGGATACTAAGTACACACTTGTATCTGTCAGTGCTCTGGAGAGAGATGTGGGAAAGCCTGACATTCTTCAACTGCCATTTGGATAATCACAACATCTAATCAAATAATGTCATAATCACCATGATGGAATAATGCAACACACTTCTGTGATAGCAAGTGAGATACTGCATGAGTTTTCCTCAAGAGCAGCTTTGTTAAAATGCAGGCATTTGAAAGCCACTGAAAAGGGTTTTGGATTTAGGATCATGCTCCGTGTAATGAGGGAACCAACACAAACTTGAAAAGGAACCAGTAAGGTATTCCATTTCATATAAGCACCCAGAGTTCACTTCATTTAGAAAGGTTGCTGTTTTCCATGCTATGATCACTGAACTTGATTTGGTAAGTAGCTGAGAGAAAAAGATTTCAACTCTACTTCAAAGGAAGAGAAAAGCCAGCTCTCTGAGACAAGGGGCCACTCCGCAGCTGTGTCCTCTCCAGAGGGGCCCTGTCTCAGCAGAGAAGACATTTGGGTTTGAACGCTATTCAAATGATTTTGCTTAAAGCCTCTTCTCTTTTTGTCAGGGTCAAGGGAAAGTCCCAGACTTTTAATGCTTCCCAATGTCAAAGACATGACGCATTATACAATTTTTTTTTCTGTAATATCACAGTTTTTTTTTAAGGCTTGCAAAGTGTCATTTATGGGAACTATCTAATCATTGCCATTCCAGGAAAAGTTGAGGTCCTTTGGGCACTGAGCTGTAGTAGGCCCACTCAAGTCTGTCTCTGGCTGTGTGAAAGTGGGAAGGAAACTCTGAGAAGATGCTGCATTGGTTGTGCTTGGGAACTCCTGAAGGAATCTGTCTGCAGAGATCCATTGGCTGATGAGAATTTTAGTACTGTGGAGAGGTTGGAATGTTACAAGTCCAGAGGCTAATCATCTTATGTTGGTCTAAGTTCTGACTCTCTAGAATAGCCATTCCTTGCCCTCTTCTGTGTCAGAACTAATGTCTTGTAACAACAGGTAAAACCTTTTAGAATCTATTGACTTAGCAGGCAACTAGCATCTACCAACCCACAAGCTAAGAATGCCATCAGATAGCATCTTGGGCTTACAACAAAACTTCCCTCATCTCAATGTACCTGCCTCTCTGATGTACTCACCAATGCATTTTAAACTTGCCTTGATTCTGTAAAATGATAAAGATTTTGCAAAACTGCTTCCACATCAGAACATGGAATTTTGGGTAACCTAAATCTGTATTTCCAGTGGATCCAGAATAAACTCTTTTATATTTCCTTTACGAAGAGAGTTGTGGTTTTTGTAGACATTAGGAAGCATGTAAAGGCAGGTGGTGCTAGGCTGGTCTTGAAAAAGGCACACGGGCTGAACTTCACCCTGGAAATATAGAAACTTTACTTCCTTAGCTATCGAATCCAGTTTGAGTATTTCATTTTTTTAGCTGGGTAATGCTAAATGGTTTCTCCCTCAGTAAATTTTGATTAGTGTCATTGTTTTAGAGAACTCGGAGGTGTAATACTTTCTGACTGGGGGACAGGGATAAAGCAGACACAAATAGAAGTGGAGTTAATGGACCAACAGGAAATGTCTTCTTCAGTCCATGCCAAAAAATGCTCAGTAAAAGAACCCATATCTTAGACCCTTGGTTTCATATCTGTTCTTTCAGGCAGCCAATTGAAACAACTCTACACCATGTTCTTCTTGTCATTTAGACAGTTATAGGAACTCACACGACCCAAGAGCTGTCTCTGGCTCAATATTCTTTGTGAAAATCAGAACAATGTCAACAAAAGGAGCAAGATAACATTCAGTCTCACCTTCCGAAGGAGATTATGAGAATGAAAGAAGAGAGGCTGCTGGTCCCTGGCAGCACCTGTGGGGGCTCCCCAGACACTGGGGAAAGGAAGCTTCATTACCAAGTTTGTTTAGATACACAGCAAGAACTCTCAGGTCTACATGAAAGCTAGGCTCTGTACCAGTAGTGTGTGTGTGTGTGTGTGTGTGTGTGTGTGTGTGTGTGTGTGTGTGCAGGTGGATGTGCATTTTATGTACCCATATGTGTGCTTGTGTGTACATCTGTATCTACAGGCCAGAGGTCAACTTTGGGTGCCATTCCTTAGGTGTTCATATCTTGTTTTTGAGTCAAGGTCTCTCACTAGCCTTGAACTCATGGAAGCTATGTTGACTGGCTAGCAAGCATTCCAGGATCCCCACCTTCCTAGCATTGGGATGACGATCCTGCTTGTTTGTTCTTAAGTGAAAATTGATCAGGGGATCAAATTCATATTTGCATTCCTGCAGGGCAAGGACTTTATAATTGATTCTCCATCCCATACCCTCCCCCACCAGTTTTACAAGGAAGATTCTCATTTCACTGCTGGGAAAGACCCTTATTTGACAGTAAGATACAAAG